TTCTCTCTCCTTCCTTCCTTCCTTCCTTCCTTCCTTCCTTCCTTCCTTCCTTCCTTTCTTCCTCCCTTCCTCCCTCTCTCCCTTCCTCCCTCTCTTCTTTCTTTCTTTCTCTTTCTTTCTTTCTTTCTTTCTTTCTTTCTTTCTTTCTTTCTTTCTTTCTCTCTCTTCTTTCTCCCTCCTTCCCCCTTCCTCCCTTCCTTCCTTCCTTCCTTTCTCATTCTTTTCTTCCTTCCTTTCTTTTTTCTCCTTCCTTTCCCTCCCTCCCTCCCTCCCTCCCTCCCTCCCTCTCTCCCTCCCTTTCGTGACTAGGTGATTTGATATTATGGCCATAGGTGGTTTGGACAGCGCTGTGTTCTCTGTGCTCCATTCATCCCCAGCCCTAAGTGTGGTGCCTGGCACTGGGCAGATATTTCTGGAGAATGTTGAATGAAACAATAGGCATGCAAAGCCCCACATTTCTGGGTGATTTTTTTCTTATTGTTTCTCTATGAATAAAGGCTACAAAACACCCATTTTCCTTTCTCTCTTTCTCTCTTTATTCACACATTGCACAAATGCTGCTATTAATCCCACTGAACACTGTGGTTACATTGTCCTAGAGGATCTACCTCATTAATTACGATGACAACATTTTCTGGGCTCAGGTCACAAATTATTTCAAAGTGACGTGGAATAATAGTCTGTTAAAATGTTTGGGCACAAAAAAATCACACACTATCAACTAAGACTTTAGAGATTTTTTCTTGAACTCTTTAGCTCTTTTAAAAATGCTATCTAGATTATACTTAATTGACTTAAAATGCATATCCTTCTAATTATTCTAAATTTTGCTTTTTTTTTTTGACCCAGATTTTACGATTGTGGGAAACCCATGGCTGTTTAATCCCCAAGGTTAAGAGTGTAATGATGTTCTTTACCGCCTCAAAAGCAACTAGCTGAGTTCTGAATGGACTCTCATTTGTAATTTCACTCCAGTGGAAATAATATCCTGTAAGAAAATCTGCTCTGTTTTGCAGCTGAACAGGGTGTGTTTCTCCTTTCTTACTCCAAGTTTTTTCCCCCCTGTCCTTAGATTTTGGTTGTATCAACCAAATAGTCACGAAGCACCCCAAATCAGGAACATAACTATAACTAAAAAGAATCATCTTTCATAATTTGCCTGTGATTATTATTTTCTTTCCATGTTTAAACACCACATCTCAGTTTGTTCTCGTGTGTGAGTGTATGATATGTGCATTTTTATGTGTGTTCAGGCATGCACTTGCTGTGTTAATATATGCATTTGTGTGTGTGGTCAGGCATGCACTGTCTGTGTTGATATGTGTATTTGAGTGTGTTCAGGCATGCACTGGCTGTGTTGATATGTGCATTTGTATCTGTGTTCAGGCATGCACTGGCAGCGTTGATATGTGCATGTGTGTGTGGTCAGGCATGCACTGGCTGTGTTGATATGTGCATTTGTGTGTGTGGTCAGGCATGCACTGACTGTGTTGATATGTGCATGTGTGTGTTCAGCCATGCACTGGCTGTGTTGATATGTGCATTTGTGTGTGTGGTCAGGCATGCACTGGCTGTGTTGATATGTGCATGTGTGTGTTCAGCCATGCTGTGTTATAGTGTAGGGATCAGAGGACAATCTTGGTGTCAGTTCCTGTTGCATCTTGTTTGAGACGCTTTCTCTTCTGTTGTCTGCCACCATTCAAGCTAGGTCAGCTGATCCATGAACTTCCACATATTCCCTGGGTCTGTCTCCATCTTACTGTAGGAATGCTGGGCTTACCAGCAGGAGCTACCATGGCTAGTTTTATCTGCCCTCTGGACATTCCAACTCAAGTCCTCCCCCTTGTGTAATAAGTTCCTTATCCACTGAGCCATCCCCTCAGCCCCACATCTCAGCTCTTTATACCAGCTATCCAAATATTTCCTAAAGTGTTATTGCAAAGCAGAGAGGAGGGGAATGTGGGAAGTGAGGAGGAGACCTAAAAGTTAGTGTACACTGGTATTACATCTCATTACATTCTGAAACGCCTTGCCAATGGTACCTGCTGCTTACAGATGCAGGGGACCCCCCTGGCTGGCCAGGGCAATGAGGACTCTTGACTGGACCTATTTGCCAGCATCTTTGGTCTCGTTTCCTTTCCCGTCAAAGTTTGGAACTTGCACGTCCACAGTCTTTACCTGTGGTGTCTAGGAATCCACCTTCCATTCACATCACCTCTCCACAATGCTGCGGGTCACCTGGAGCCCTCAGCACATGGGTTTCCCCAGCCTGGGAGTCCTAGAGGTGCCCTGCAGAGAACCGAGGACAGCGCCAACCTCCAGGAAGCTCCGCGCTGACAGCTTCCTGAGGCCACTTCCTCCTCTGATCTGCCAGTTTCCTGGCTGCTCTGCCAGCATTCCCTTCTCTCTGCCCCGCCACAGCTCTCTGCCCCCCCACCCCGCTCCGTACCTCTCCAATTATCAGTACCTCTCCAATTGTCTCTTCTTCAGAAGGTTCGGTCACCATCATCTTGCCAATGTCTCCCGATTCTGTCACTACAGTTGCCAGAGTCCTAATGGAGTTTTGCTGTCCTCACTTGACCTCCTTCATCCTTCCGGTCCTGTGTGTCCCACAGTAGTTTTGCTACAGCCCATCCTCCATCCTTCCTCCCACTGACCAACTGGGCCCTCAGCACGGCAGACACACTGGGCTGTTTTACAGCAGGACCTGTCTGTCTCTGGCTGTCCAGGTCACACTCAGCCTCAGCCTTCCAACCCACCAATCCACATATCTGCCTGAAGACTTCCTTCTTCTGTCCCTCCATCTCCAGAGTCTGGCTCATTCTTCCCCTCTAGACTCGTCTGGACCCTTTCTCTTAGCTCAGTCTCATTCCTCACATGTCTGCAACACGAGTCCCTCATTCACGCCAGGCCAAACCTCCTGGGCTGACAGCAGGCCCTGCTCTCCTTTTCTGTACCACTGACCCCATGGCCCTCCGTCACCCACCTTTACAGTTGAATCAGCAGCCTCTAGGGCCCTTCTGTCTCCACCCACCACGTATTTTCCACTAAATAACCTTATTTTCTAAATCTCCTTAGCTAGGACAGGGAACAGTTATGGTCCTCTCTCTTCTGCCAACATCTTTCTGTACCAGAAAAAGGCTAAAGATGTCCTTAGCCTTGCTATCTAACGAGGTGTGTATGTGGGGGTACTTCCAGAAAGATAGACTTCAAAGCCCCAGGGAGGCCTGTACAGTTTCCTGATAACTTTCTATTCCATATTATTAGGTGACTATAGGATCCAAGGCATGGAAGTTAATACCTTAAACTTCAGAATTTTGCCTCTAGTGGACAGAGCCCACCCTTGGGTCAAGCCTTGCTTTCTCTCCTACTGCCTCACTTGTCACGTGGTAGCATCTTTATTTCTGGCCATGGGTAGGAAAGTTCAGATCACTAACCTTTGTATAGGCTGGGTATTTTATTGACTCTTGGATCTGTGGTTTTTCTGACAATTTTCTTTTGATGACATTCTGGTCTCTTCCTAATGGTAAGCCCAGATCTCTGAATATGTAACAAGTTAGTCTATAAAGAGACAACATCACACGGACTGATCACTGGAAAAGGAAGACCAGGTGGCCTCTTTCTGCATCTTTGGTCCCTGTGGCCAAGAATTCTCATAGAGTAGTTACAAGCCCTGAGCTAGAGAACATGCAGACAGGGACGCCCCTTGCAGGACGTGGCCCGGAGGGAGGCGCTCTGCAGTGGCAAGCGTCACCATGGTTGCCCATGTTTGGTGCAGCAGTTGCCTGGGGCTCGGGGACAGCGCGTGGGGGACAGAGAGTGAGCAAGAGGGTCCCCGATGTCCCGGGACGGACTGCAAGCGTCCCTCACTTTCTCGCCTTCTCGCCTTTTGTCCCTGCACTTCCTAGGAGTCTTCTGGCTGAGAAGCCTAGGAGCAAGGACCAGGGAGGGACCAGGGCGGGGACCCAGGCGGGACCCAGGCGCGCCCAGCTCGGCGCCCCGCCCGCCACGTCTCC